TATTGGTTATACTCACATCTTTACTTCCTGATCATTTATCCAATCTTTCTATTTCCAGCATCCCCTCATTCTGTGTTTTCTTTATTGTGTCTATTTCAGCTTTCATTCCTTAAACTGTTTTGAGTGCTTCCTTCACTTGTTTGGTTGTTTTTTCTTGGCTTTCTTTACATTCTTTAAGAGATTTGTTTACTTCCTGAAATTTTTGGTTTGTCTTTTCCTATATCTCATGTAATCTTTGCTTGTTTTTTCTCCTATTTCTTTAAGGGATTTTCTTGTTTTCTCTTTAAAGGACTCTATCTACTTCCTAAGATAATTTTTGAAGTCCATCTCTTCTTCATCTTCTGTGTTGGGCTTTTCAGCTCTTGCTGGTGTGGAGTCCCTAGATTCTGGTGGTGTCATATTGGTTTTACTTTTGTTGAGTGTGTTCTTACTTTGTCTTCTTCCCATCCCTTCTTCCAGTGAGTGCAGGTGGGGTCTCTCCCTCTTTCTGGTGGCAGGCAGAGGGCTCAGCCTCTGGTGGCAGTTGGATGGCATTGGGTGGTGTGTGGACAAGGGTGGGTTGTTTCTGGACTCAGGGTGGGCCTTCCTGTTCTGGGCAGGTCCAAGCTTGCCCGGTTCGGCTAAGTCAGAAGTGAGCAGGGGTTGATGGGGGAGGTTGGGGAGCAGAGTATTGTCCAGACTCACCTGAGGCTCATGTGCCCTGCCCTTGTAGGCCAGAGGGTGGAGTGTAGATGGGTGAGGTGTGTCCAGATTCAGGGTGGGCCTTCCTGTCTGTGCAGATCCACTCTTGTCTTGGGGTGAGGATCAGGGTGGGGGGAGGGGTCAGGCAGAAGCTTGCAGGGGTTTATGGGGAATGTTGGGGGTGGCAGAGCAGCGCCCAGAATCACCTGAGACTCTGGTGCCCGCCGCAGGACAGAGGATGGAGTGTGGATCGTTACTGAACATTTTAAGCACATAAAAGAGAGTACTGCAGAATCATCAAAACACATAAAGTATGGACATCTGACATTCCTGTCTCTACCTCCTTGTGTATGCAAAACCCTACAATTTGACTATCTGTATCATCAGAGATGCTCCCTCCAGCAGCAGATAGAAACAGACACAGACACATACAGCTATACATTATGTAGAGAAAGTGTTTAAACTGAAGGTCTCTGTAGTGGGAAATTACCAATACGGAGTCAGGTAGAAATATAAGGGTATTTAATAGGGAAAAGCCTTACTTACAGAGTGACCTAGCCAGCCATCGTGGCAGCAGTCTGTACAGCAAGTCCAAAAGAGAAAGCAAAAGCGAAAACGCAGTCACCCTACATCCCCTGACCACGCCCTCGCAAGCTTGTGAGGGCGTGGTCAGGCACACCTGTAGCCAGCCCCTAAGTAGGCGTGGCTACAGCTTCCCCTACAGGTCTCCATCAAATTTCTCTGCTCAATGCTCAGGGAGTCTCACAGAGGAGGGGGTAGAATCATTGTGGAGTCAAAGGGAATGGAGGAAACCAGGAGAACAAGATCCTGATCAACTGAGCCAGGTATATATGAGCTCAGAAAGACTAAAGCAGAAAGTACAGGGCCTACCTGGGGATAACATAGTCCACTACATATATATTATAGCTATTAGCTCAGTATTTTTATGTGACTCCTGACTATGAGAACCAGTAGGTCCCTGACTCCTTTGCCCACTCTTAGGACTCTTTTTTACTGTTGAGTTGCCATGTTCAACATTTATAAAAAACTTTAGCTTTATCTTATTATAGTATATCTTGTCATGTTTATGTTTTATCTCCTAGAAGACTGTTTTATTCCTAATGAGAGAAAGAAAGGGAATGGAAATCTAGGGAATAGGATATGGGGAGGAACTTGGAGTAGAGGGATGGAAAATTCTAATCAGGAAAATTATATGAAAAAAGTATTTTCAAAAAAATGAGTACATAACTGTCAACAAGAAAAAGGTATATACTCTCTCCAATAATTTTTATTGCAATATCAGAATTTGAGTTATATTAATTAAGAAGATAAAATATACAATTATTGAGGAAAGTGTTAAATCATTCATATATATATATATATATATATATATATATATATATATATATATATATATCTATATGTATTTTTATGTGA